TACATTGCAACATTTTATTGCTTTTCTCTCCCACTTATTCCTTCTAATTTTGATCTTGGTTGTTAGGTGCTTCTCAGTTTGGAAGTGAAACATGACTTCATTCTCCCAAGATATGTAGAAATATATCAGTGTATAAATTAAAACATAGAAGAAATTTAAAAGCCTAGTGAAAACTAAGCATGTTCAGTGGCTTGCTGGAACTAAAAAATGCTTGTGGACATTTGAGCTTCAGCCCAGTCAAGGACAGTTTATACTATTATATATGTGGATAGATATTAAGAGTTAGGGCAGCAGTAAGGATTTCTTTAGTACCAGACAGCTATATCACTCTGTTACCCCCAAAGTGGTAGATGACATTTTGGGGTGGACTCAGCTCCTGATGACAGAGGGCTTTTCCTTGCAAAGGAAGGCAGGAGCAGTGGCTCTTCAGACGACTCCTCAGTAGAACTGGACATATATACTGAGGCATTTTGTTGTGGGTCCCCACTTGTTTAATTCTAGGTTTAAAAAAAGTGATACAGATCAAGACTTGTGATAACCTTTTTTGTGTGAGTGTTTTTTTCAGTCTGTCACATCTGTTGTCATTAATACTTTCAAGTTCTTTAAACTGACTTTTTAAATGAATTGCATTCTCTGTTATTCAGCATCTTTGTGCCTCCAAAATGTTTTAATATACTTTCTTGCATCCATTTGGGAGTACACTCTACATTTTGCCCATTTTCCATTTGAAAATACTGTGAGGAATCCTATACACAAGTGTTTTTAATCCTTATCCCAAATATTTTGCTCAGTCTTATTGGTGATTGCGAGATAGATTTCTTAATTGGGGTAGTATTTGTTTGATCAGACTCCCTTTGCTGGGTTCCTTTTTTCTACAGACTGTGTTTCAAAAACTTTTAAACTTTATAATACATATTTACTAAACATCTTAATTGCTTCAGTAGTTATTGTTTCTTTATGTTATGTCATTTCCCTAAATCTTGCCATTCTCCATGCTTTGGGGATCGGAAAAGCATATTCTGTTACATCCAAGTGTAAGAGAAGCAGATGGCCTCTTATGCAATGAGACTTTCCAATCTCCTCACCCTTCTTGCATGCCCACAGTTTTTCCAGGGGATAATATGACCACTGAAAAAGGAATGGAATGTGTTGTGTGCTAGAGTGGGTGTACAGAATATTAGAAATCAGGCAAAAGGGGCTTGCAATGAACAAACATCCTGCTCAGCATTTCACTGGGTAGAATGAGATGGGAAAGCCATGTTGCCAAGCAGCCTTTTCCCTGGGTTTCATTTGAATAAATCCCATTCCCTGCAAAATTCTAGTTTTAAAAAACTCTTCTGGGTTTGGTTTTTTTTATCTTTTCTTCCTCACACCGTAATGATAAATTTCTGAACATTGCATTTTCAGTGCAATTTGCACTGAAGACTCAGTGTTCCAGAATTCACCAAAACCATTGGGGGATGTAAGAAAGAGAAAAATGTAGACATTAAAATTAACAAAAAATAGAATTAGTTACACTTGCACTGAAGGTTGTTCTGTTACAATTGGTGGAACTGTTTCAAAATATGTATACAATTTTCCTTGCCACTGGAATGTACACTTAGACTTCTGTCTTAAGGATCTGACATCCAAACTATGTATTGTCATAGCAAGATTCTTCTTCCCCTTTAAAACTTAAATTCTAGGGGTGAGGTACTAACAGCTATGGTGAATGTTTTTCTGGTAAAACATACCTATGTGCTTGTGCACTCTCATGTTCAAGACATGTGCATTTACTGGGTCTTTTAGTGATCTTGTTGGTTTCTATTAATAGTGAAGGTGCTAAGGCCATAGCTGCTCCACGTCCTGATAGACTTGTTAATCGTTTAAAGAGCATTACTTTGGATGATGCCAATGCTCCTCGCCTAACTGTTCTTCGTCAGCCAAGGGGACCGGATAATTCAAAGGTATGTTGTAAGAGATTTGGCTATTGGGCACCTATGAAATAGGAGTGTGGCTACTGTTGCAGATTTAGATGCCAAATTAGTCTACCTTATTTACTGTCATAGTCTGTAATAAATGTCAGCCACCTGATCCTCAGTAACATGGTCTGACAGAACATCAGTTATCACAATTGAGAAGGAAGATTTAAGGGGTCATTGAAGGATCCTGTGAAAAAGTGGGTTTTGAGGAGGTATTTGAAGGAAGAGGGAGGTACAGCATATTTAGGGCAGAGTTTCCTGTGTAAGGGAGTATAAGGACAAATGTGGAGAATTGCATTCAAGCAAGTGTAAAGTGACCTTCATCAGCAGATATAATAGAGAGAAGGGCTAAAAGATAGACTTGACCTAGTTAACTGCTTTAAAAGCAAAGGCAAAGAATTTCTGTTGATCTCAGAAGATGATAGGAAGCCAGTGAAAAATAGTGTTGCATGTACCTGAACTAAGAGGGTTGATGAAATGAATGAATGAGATATGAGAGAGGAAAGCAAGGGAGGAAGATTGAAATTGTTTAAGCAGGAATGTGAGTTTTAGCTAAGAGGACAGCTGGAAGAACTTGTGAGAAACTGATGGAAACCCCACAAAGAGCACAACTTTCAGGTGTCTCATCTTGTCAGTGCTGCTGACTTCACAAAGTGACAGCTGAAACAGACAAGGAAATTGACCAGACCATCATAACTTATTTCACCTGCTGTACATGCTAGAGGGATTATCATAATTACTCTTAGAAACACAGTTTCCCATGTCATGTAAACCTGACCAAACTGGCTTGTTGGTATAGTACATATGCTATAGTACACATGAACTCATTTATTTATTTTATTTGGAAAATTTCTATGCCGCCCCATTCGCCGAAGCCTCAGGGCGGCTTACATATAAATCAATTAAAATACTATAAATTAACAATGTAAAACAAGTTAACAGTATAAAGTAAGTCACCCTGGCCAACGAATAAAATAAATAAATACCATTAACAATTAAAATGACGTTTGACTAAAAAGGTCATAGGCTCTTGTAGGATTCTGAGGTGGCTTGTTAACCATGCTGGCCACATGACACACACAGCTGCACTGCCAAGGGTAATTCTGCTAATCCTCTTGTAGCACACAGTGGGGGGGGGGGGGGGGAATAAACCATAGTGGTTTATTCCCCATGCCATGATTATGCAAATAGGCCCAGAGTAGGGAACTTTAGACATGGCTCTGCTTCTTAGCAAGGGCAGTCAGTGAATCCCAGATGATGGGATTAGCTTGTAGGAAGTCAAGAATACATTTAAAAGATAAGGCTGTGATAGCATAAGTAAATAGAATGCTCATGAGTTAGGGGGAAGTAAACGTTCAGTTGGCAGTTAAGGCTAGATGAAGGGACTTTTTGGAGAAAGTTACATTCTTGAATTGGGGTAGGAAAGAGTTACAGGAGGCAGTAAATCGCATCAAAGGTACATGTGACAGAACTGGATGTGGATAGATAAAAGCAGCAGGATGAGTTATGAATTTAAAATTAGCACTATAACAAGTCACTGTTTAATTCTCCTTGCAGCTCTCTTCACTTGTATTTCCTTTTATTTGCCACTTACAGGGATTTGGTACAGAGAGAAAGATTCGTCAAGCTGGTGTTATCGACTAACTGATCTCAAAGCAAATAACTATGTAGGAGCAAATGGTGGGGTCTGGTGAAGGGTACTGAATATTCATCCCTTCTAAATTCTAAGGAGCTATTACATCCGTTTTAACACCTTCCTCATGTTATGTTTAAAAATAAATTTATGAAACAGTTTTAAAATATGCACAGTTGCATCCTGGAGAACCTAAGGTGGCGCCTTATAGTATCACGTTTTAGAAGCTTTTTGAATGGTGCATTTAACGCAACTGGTAACTGCAAATCTACTTTGCCTCTTTAAGTAAACATTATAGACAGTTCTACTCTGGTAGACCTTATGAAATTCTGCACTGAAAAGATAGATATATATATATACATATACATATATACACACACACACATATATTTTTCTTAATTCACTTCTGCCAAGGCATTATTATGCCTTAGCTCCCAATTGCTTTAACCTCTCAAGACAGGGAAGGTTACTGACCCATTCATTTTCCTCCAGTTTTGAGGACCATATGAGGATGAATATTCTAATCCTTTATATAGAATCCTGTATGAGTACTCAATCCCGTTCCTTAAGTTGATGGCCAAATGTTAAACTGTTTTTTATGTCTCATTAAACTCAAGTCCATATCGCAAACAGAGTTATCTCCTAGATCACATTGAAAGTATCTTCCAGAGTAGACTCAATAGGTTTTTTGTAATTATCTGCAATTAGCATGCACAGTGCAGAATTTCATAAGGATAAGGTGTGCCATCAGTGTGGTAACTTAAAGATATTTAAAACAATGCACAAATTTGCTGCTGCTTAGAACACTGCAGCTTCTAAACCCAGTTTATTTTACTGATTAAAACCTTTGAAAAGTTGTGCCTGAAGTGAATACTTTTTTTTTTTTTTTTTTTTTGCAGCCAGCACCCAGTGTACTGTAAAAGAATACTTAGGCTTTCCATAGCTGTATTGAGACTTTCATCAAGGTGAAATAGTTGATGTCTGTGTGCTTTTTTTCTCCCTCCAGGTCCTCTCCCCCTCCCTTCCTCAGCCACACTTTATCAAGCGAGCAAACTGAATGATTGGTCTAAGTATTACTTTAACCAAAAAGATCAGGAGTTATTTTCTTTGAATAGAGGGCAGTACTGTGTTTTTCCCATGTTACCTCTATTCTCAATTTAGGGTTTTTCTTCTCTGGGAGATGCATTATCTTTGTAAAACAAACATTGCTTTCTCCAATTTTTTCTGTTAATGGCGAAGAATGGAAATAGAATAAAGTTTTACTGATTTTGAAAAACTGCCTGAGTCTTGTAACTCCTTCATTAAGCTTTAGTTCAAAAATATACTTCACATGGTGAAGGGAAGGCTTGACCAAATTTTTCTCAGATACTATTCTGGACAAATAGTTTATGGACCACAATTTTCCCATCACCTCATGGATAATCAGGCATCATGACAGAAATATTGTTGCCATAGGGACTTTATTGGAACACAGCACATGCTTTCAAGTAGCATGAGGCCAAAAGTTGACTGTAGGATGGTGTTTCTTTGGGACATCCACCTCCCCTATAGTAGCAATATTTTAAAATGCATATAAAATATACATGGATAATCATTGCTGCTTTTCGGGAGGTATAAACAGGGTAAGCACACACATGACTTCTGCCACAATTTGATCACAATGTTGAAAGCCCATTGAAGCCAATTGGCTTTGTAGTCCCAATCAGGTTTTTTATGAGTTGTCAGTAATCTTTGGTATCATTAAACTGGATGTGGAAATTTTCCAGTTGCTATCTCTCTGAGGCAAATGTCATCTCTAAAAATGCAGTTTCAAAATTGCCTACTAAAATACCAGTCAAATTGGGTAGTTTCAGAATTGTAATAACTTATAAGGCATGCTAAAATTAGAATCTTAACAATGAGTGCATTTACTATTGAAATTTAATTTAAGGGAAATAAGGGTTATTTGACATGTCCAGTAAGAATAATTTTCAAATAAAACTTTGAATGTAAGAGTTTAACCACATTGAGTTGGATCTTGACTTGTGTTTACTAGAATTGTGTTGGAGGAAGGAGAGAGAGAATTTTTTAATTCCCCCTTTTCAGTACTGAGCCCAGTGCTACCTCACACACTTCCAAGTGATGAGGGGCTCTTGAACAGCATGAGAAGTAGGTCTGGTTGCTGAAGGAGTAATCAGAGGAAAGTGCTGCCAGCTTTCCTTCAGTTAGAAGCTTTGTCTGAATTCTACAATTGGAAGGAAATCTGTTGTTGATAGGCAAACAATTATCTGTTGGTAAGATGTGTGATACTTAGAGTTGGTGATGCTTTGTAGCTTTTTATTTTAAAAAAATTCAGCATGCTAAATCACATCCCAGTCAATATAGTGCCTTATTTTCTATCTCAAAAGTGTTCCAGAAAATCTTTTTCATTGGGGGTGGGTGGGAAGCTCTGTGTAGAAATTACAAGAAGACTTGGAGTATAATTAAACTGCATGTAACTGCCCACAAACATTTTCAACCCCCCCCCCTTATCTGTATGACTAGCCAACCAAACTCTACAACTGGCTTATCAGTCAGCCATGAATTGCATACCTGTGGAGTTTCCCTTAAAGCCAATGCCCTGTTAGTCAACATCTGGGAACAGCCTGGGGAGCTTATTTTTTGACAACATCTGATTGTATGTCCTCTGTGGTGTGTGTTTAAAATTCCATATAAAGAAAGCCATGTTAACTATTCCAATTGCATTAATACCTTTGCTTTAACTATAATTATTAATTACAGAAAAAAGATATCTTTTACATAGATGAAAATATTGGATTTATTTTTACTAAGCAATACAGACATGCAAATTATAGAAAGCTGTTATAGAGGGCATGGGGAATCTAAACAATCTGGTAATATCTTTATTAGGCAAATCAAAACACCACAAGGAAACTTGGGAAGGATCATCTGAACTGGATGTTCAGATTGAATGTTAAAATGGAGGGGGTGTGAGTTGAGTTGAGCATGATGTGCCTGATCCCAAATATTTCTGTTTACAACTTGTGGAATGCAAGAAAATACAGAAAATACCTAAATAGTGATGTCAAGTCTTTTATTTCTGGCATTTTAAAGACTTAAAATTTATTTTGGTATGTGTCTTGTTCACTTCATCAAATGTATGAAATGTTAACCTCAAATTGGCAAATCTATATGTGCAGGGATGTAAATGGTTTTTAGAGGAAATTGATATACAAAAAGTCTGTACAGTGTTTACAAAATACTAAAATAATTTGGTAAGTCTTTTACACAGTGATCCTTTTGGAACTCGTTATACTTGACATCTAAATGGGCCAGAGGAATTCTATGAATTGTTTCTTAATGAGGTTTGGTCAGAATTAAAATATGTGTTTAGGGGAGTGAACTTGCTATGTTAATGTTAATAAAAACAGTTGTTGAATGGCTTTCTTAGCTGTTAACAAATTCTCACAAGTAGCCATGGCTTTTGTGGCCACTTGTTTAATAGACAGATAATGGAAATCTATCAGGGTTCGAGTCCCCACTCAACCAACTGGGAGTGGGGCCAACTGGGTGACTTGGACCAGTTGCAGACTTAGCCTAACCTGACTGACAGGGTTGTTGTGGAACGTATTGGGCCTGGACTGTAAAATCCAGGTTAATGTCTCTGAAAGTAAGCCTGCTTAGCACAGGTAGCACTGCCCAACAATAAGCTTGCTTACCCAATTAAAATAGTTATTGTTTCCTGGTCCTAAGGAAGATGGTCAATGGACTAAATACAAGCCTGTGTTTGGCCTGGGATCCCACCTTAACCAACCAGTTAATGAGCTTCTGCTTGGCATTATGATTAGTTTAATGATTTCGTGCCTTGTTCTATGCTCAACTAGCTTATGCTATAGTATGTTATGATAATCCTGACTGACATTGATGGAAAGTCTTATGACTTGTGGCCAGCTTTCAAGTGCCTTGCTTGAACATCCTTTGAGATGCTGGCTTCTTCAAGTAATTTGCTTGACTTCTCAATAAAGCTTTCTTCTAAGTAAATCTGGACCTAGTTTACCAATTTCCTGGGGGTCATTCAAACCTGCAGCCCAGAGTCAAGCCAGAAAAGGAGACAAGCTTGAAAGGAGCGGAAGAATGATGTAAACCACATTGAGTTTATGTAAGAAAAAAGCAAGCTATAAATTTTAAAAAAATGTTAGCTGCCCTAAATCTTAAGTCAAATGCCCTGGGTAATCCTATTGCAGTGTTACTGGCCAAAACTTTTTTTCTTCTACGCTGAATACAGAAGTCACTTGAATGGTTCATTTTGCTATAATGGTGGCTGGTTTCACACATATCTATTGAAGCCATATTTCTGTTTGTGTTTAAATGTTTTAAAAATTCACTTTAAAATGGTGTGGAAGCACATACCCTCTTTCAAATTTTACCCTGTTATTTCATTAACGTTTCTTGCCCCCCTCCTGCTTGGAAAAAGCAGTCATTCTGAAGCCTTGCCTTGGAAGTTACATCCACCCAGGTAGAAAGGAAAAAACCAAATATTAGCATGGCTAAATTTTCCCTACATGGTTAAGCAGTTGGGGGGGAGGGGGTACAGCTACGAGAGGGAAAGGACTATACTATTGGCACAGGGAGAACTTGTGTGAATATAGTGCAAATGCTATAAAATGCACGTGGGGAAACTCTGTAAAGAGGCAGCGTCCTCAAGCACCAAGGGGACAGCATAGTTCTCATAGGTCACGCTGTATCCTCCAGAGATGTCGCAGGCCAGCTCGCATAATCCCCCAGACACCCGCACGTGCTGCATTACAACTCGCAGCCAGCCGGGAGAGCAGCCGGGAAAAGCCGGGGTGAGCAGGCCAGGTGCCTTTACACGCGTCCTCTCACGCTCTCGCCGCATTGAAGGAAAAAGGTGGGCCGTCTCGGAGTCATGACTTCGCGGCCCCGCCCACGAAGCGACACCTCCGGCGACGAGCGATGACGCCAACGGTACGGCGGTTCGGAAGGACCGGTCTTGGGCAGGGCGTTTGGGCGGTTGTGGAGCCTGGAAGTGAGGTGAGAAATGATTGCTGGTCGTCCCGCCGGCCCCTGAGAGGGGCTCGTGCCGCTCTTGCGGCGCGAGTCGGGAGGGAGCCTCCCTTCCCCCGCCCGGTGCGGGAGGCGCAGCTCGGGAAGGCGCTGCTCGCCCCCGGGCTGGGTGTGTCGGCCTCGCCTGCTCTGGAGCGCGGCATGTGCGGAGGCGGCTGCTCGTGCTTCCCGGCGGCGGCGGCCCTTGGCAGGCTCTCCCTTGCGCTGGGGCGGGGGCCGTGGGGGGCTGTCCGTTCTGCTGCGGCTGTTTTCCGCGAGCCCTCCTGTTCGCGGCCAGCGCCCCGAGGGCTTGCTGTGTGGCGGGCGCCTGCCCACCTTTTACTGAACCGCTTATATGCGGCTGGAGCTGCAGCTTCTGGTTTCAGCGTCCGCGCAGTCGGGCGACCGGCGTGATTCTGATGCTCGGCCAGTCCATTCCTGCCCCCATACCTGCTCCCCGAGTACCAACAATTTTAATATCTAACACTGGCAGCCTTGACCTACTCCTAGCGCATATCACGTTATATATGAATGCCAGTGGTTATGATAATTGCTTGGATATTGAAACCTGTATCGTGACGTGTCAGGCACTGTCTGATGTGACCATTACAAAATAAATAATGGCCAGTATTAAGCATTTGGTTGAAAGTGTAGAAATATGAAGCACTTGTACTTATTCAGTAGATTCGTGTTACATTATTTCCCCAAGCAGCTTTGGTCAGCCTTTGGTTTTATTTAATCACAACGATTTAGTAAAATAGTTTGGATTGAGAAGGAGTTTGGCCAAGACCAGCCAGTAACTTTGAGAGGCAGTCTGGCCAAGACCAGCCAGGACAGAGTATAGCCTTGAGCCCCGTCTCCCCAAGCTAACTGCAGTTTTATACATGTTTCCTCTGAATTATACCTGAATTCTCTGAGTTCAAAGTTTTGGAATAGAAACTTGAGTTCAAATGGTATTTTCTCGTAGGTAAGTGTATAGTAACTGCAAATTATGCCTAGTATCCTATCTTTTAATGTACAATGCTGAGCTGAGCGTAATACTTTGGGAGAACTGGATCCAAGTTGCTCACCCATTAACTAATGTAGTGCACATTAGTTTTGTTTTACTTTATACCCTGCCATTCAGCCAATAGTGACACTCTTCTCCAAACATGTTCTTCTCTAGTAATTGTCATCAAAGTCTTTTTGTTTTCATCAGGATGCTCTTTGAAGCTATGTGTGCATTAGAAAAGTAATTTGGTCTGAAGGTCTTGAATGTTTTGCTGCATCACTTCTATGAACAGGTCTCTGAAGAGTGCGATGACCGAGTATAAGCTGGTGGTGGTGGGAGCTGGTGGTGTTGGAAAAAGTGCCCTGACTATACAGCTCATCCAGAACCACTTTGTGGATGAATATGATCCTACTATAGAGGTGGGTTCCTGTACATTTACATCCTCAACACCATGCTAGATATATGTGTGAATCCATGACTGCTTCACTACTCATACACAAGAGTTAAAGTATGCTGTTCTTAATGTTGAGTATTAGAAGCCTTGAGCTTTTTAACAAAATGATTAGATTTCCTCAAGTTTTAGTTTTGTATATCTTTGTAGCATCATAGCAATCAGACATGTATTGCTAACTTCCAGAATCTTATCCAGAAGCTTTCAGTCACTGTAGGGCTTGTGTTACCCATTTCAGCATGTGAGATTTTTAAAGGTAGAAGGAAAACAGTAGCATAGCTCATATATGAAGTAGCTTCAAATGACAATACATTTCCTGGATTGTATTGCTGCTGAATAGGTGGAACTGCATATTTCAGTATTTCCTGGTAGAGGGAAATACTTTTACATTAAAGGAAACTAATAAAGCATGATAAAGGTTTTCTCTTAGCCTTCTCCCTTGTTTCATTTTGCAGAGATCTCATATACACTACCTCTTCTATTCCATACCTGCAGTGATAGGGTCCAGGAAAAGCCCAACAACTTGATTCTATGCAGGGAGGTTGTTCTTGGTGCTTAAGCATTCCAGTACCACATCACATGCACCACTACCAGATTCTGAGCTTTGATTTCTGGGCTTCAAGCGGGTGGGAGAATCTGTTTATAGCACAATGAAGAATAGGCAGCAAACACAGTGCCCGTATTGCAATATCTACTACCATGGTAAGATTTCATACTTGGAGAACACATCAGTTTCTTGAAATACATAGCTGTACAACAGGGGTTAGGAACTTTGGGACTGTCTGAGAGCAATATTCCATCTCTTCAGGACCCCTCATGAGTCACGCACCTGATGTCCCCATGCTGCTGAACACAAAACAAATGGGCAGTTTTCATAGCACAGTATGAGAGAAGCCATCAAGAAACAATATAGCCTGTTTCTGGGGGTGGCAGCAGGAGCCACACTAGAGGCCAGGTGTCGCTCACATACTGTACAAGTTTGGTGTTAAAACTGACAAGTCAATAATGTGAAGTCCATGTTCAGTTTAAAACAGTTTATTCAGACCAGTTGTAATCCATTCAGGTTCAAACTCTGTTGCAAAGTACATAACATATGGTAATAGGCTTGCCCATTTTATTTCACAATGCTGATTTGGACAGCATGGGTTAGATGCAGGGTAGAGCTTAGAGGAGTTCCTCTTACACTGGAAGGAGGGGCATGGAGGTGATCTTTGCAACTTCCTTTTTTTTTTTTTTTCAATAATAATATAACAACAAGAACACAATAATTAAAAAAAGAATAAATGAAAGAGTGCACCCACCACCCTGGAGACCAATACTACCATCGTAGACATACTATAACAATTAATAATATACTTCCATTATACCCATATCCCCTCCAGAAATTCATATAATCTTGATTGGGTTTACAGCCTTTGCCTTCTATCAGTACTGTTTTTACATCTATTTCTATTATTAATTACTATTATTACTTTATTATTTAATAATGCTGGGAACAATTGACAGGAAAAGAAGAAGGGAGTGGCAGAAAATGAGGTGGCTAGATGGAGTCACTGAAGCAGTCAGTGCGAGCTTAAGTGGACTCTGGGAGATGGTGGAGGACAGGAAGGCCTGGAGGAATGTTGTCCATGCGGTTGCGATAGGTCGGATGCAACTTCGTGACTAACAAAAACATTATTACTTTCATTTCTATACTGCCTCACAACCAAAATTTGGGGGGGGGGGTCTCTATATAGTCCCCCATCCCTGTGCTTCATGAGGAACTACCCCGGAGGTCAGAGGAATCTTCACAAGCAGCTCAAGCAATAATGCAGGAGGCTGCAGGGATGAGAAATCAGCCTTTCCACTCCCTTTGTGCATCAGGAAAACTGCCACTCGATCCCAGTGCCTTCTGTTCACAGAATAATCAGTATAGATCCAATCCATTATCAGTTCTAAAGTTTTCAAAATAACCCTGTCTATACCCTGCCCTGAAAGATGAATCTCAGCTTGTATGTTCCCCATTTTTTTTAACAGACCACAAGATTCTTCAGAGAACAAATAGATATCTATGTATATAAGTTTTTCTCAACCTGGTGTCCCCAGATGCTTGGGACTGCAGCTCCCATCATCCCTGAGTATGGTCTTTGCTGATTGGGACTGATGGAAGTTGTAGTCCAAATATCTGGAGGGTGCTAGGTTGCAGAAGTAGATTTATAGGCTTTGGGAGAGATATGAAATGCAGACTGTTGGAAGTGCTTTTAAAGTCCACTATACAAGTAAGGAGTGGAGAAGGTGCTGTTTGAGACTGTGAGCCCTCAGATAAGTGCATTGAAATGTTCTAAGCAGGATGTGGAAGATCAGATACAGCTTAATTTTGAAAAATGCCCTTCTTTGCCACAGGACTCTTACCGTAAACAGGTAGTTATTGATGGAGAGACTTGTTTGCTAGACATCCTGGACACAGCAGGGCAAGAGGAATATAGTGCTATGAGAGACCAGTACATGAGAACTGGTGAAGGTTTTCTCTGTGTGTTTGCCATCAACAACAGCAAATCATTTGCAGATATCAATCTTTACAGGTAAGCTCTGCTTATGGGAGGGAGCACATAAGATGAGAAAGGCCCACTTGCATTCTAGTGTTCCATACCATCTACTGTGAGCAGACTCTGTTACAAAGGTCATCACTAGTAATTTCAAGAACATTTTACTCAACATGTGTTTGCTCATAAATTAGTCAATGCTCTTACACCATTAAAATCTGAAGAATGGTATTAGAGAAGCAAAGGACTATTGCATTATACACCCCAGTAAAGAATAGAAAGGAGCATACTTAGGTGAGTAAAAGTAGGCTTGAAAAACAAATTTTTGGTCCTGTTGTCTGATTCAGCACAGTAGCATTCACTTTGATTTGATTTCTAACCCATCTCCTTGATCCAGAAAGGGAGCTTACATAAAATAACATAATATAATAGTGTCAGGGTGGCTTCAGTGCCTTCCAATTGCTTTGGGGTTACTTCTGCTCCCTTTCCAACCTGACTTCAGGTCTTTTTGTCCAAAGGCAGAGAAGGAGGAGTAATGTGCAGCAGTTCTATCTTAGCTGTGCTGCTGTGCAATTGCAGTTTGAAAGTGTCAGATTAAAACACAGAAAATGTTTTTTCCCTCACTTCATGAATTTTTCCAGAGAGCAGATTAAAAGAGTGAAAGATTCAGAAGATGTACCAATGGTGTTAGTGGGAAACAAATGTGACTTGCCAACACGGACAGTAGACACCAAACAGGCTCATGAAGTGGCCAAGAACTATGGGATTCCCTTCATTGAGACATCTGCTAAAACAAGACAGGTAATGGATCCTTGCACTTCTACTCAGCTCTCCAGAGAACTGCTAGTACTTCTCTAGTATTTGGACTAATCTGACTGTGAAGTCAATGCTTGCAGGCAGGAAGTTGGCATCTGCTGGTAGGAGCACCATTCTGTACATTGCTTAACTGTATAATTTAGAAGACTATAGCCTGAAGTGTCTGATCCTACCTAATCTTGGAAGCTAAGCAGGATTGGGTCTGTTTTCAATCTGGATGGGTGACTTAACTGCCCAGAGGACTTTAGCTATTGACCAGCTAACTGCAGTAGCTGAAAAAGTGAAATCATCTGTCTTAGATAACAATTGAACTTCTTCCTGTTCTGTCAGAGAAAATCCTGGGATTTTACAAATTGGGGTAAGGTCTGTGTTTTCTTTACACCGAGTTGGTTTTAGTAGCTGTCCAGCAATAATGTAGATACTCAACAATGAGAGGCATCTCATAGTAAATCCTTGGGATGCAAAAGTTCCTGTAGAATAAAGGACTCACATTTGGTGAAGAACATTGTTGATAAGCTTGACACTGAATTTTTCAAGGGCAGTGTGTGCAACAGGAGCAGTGAGAGAAACAACTTATGCCCGAGAGATCATATTTGTGATCTGCATATCCTCTACATGCAGGGTGTTGAAGATGCCTTTTACACACTTGTGAGGGAGATCCGCCAGTATCGGATGAAAAGACTCAACAGTAGTGAAGATGGGAATCAAGGCTGCATGGGGCTTTCATGCCTTGTGATGTGATCAGGTGGGATGGAAAACGCTACTAACCTATGTTTGACAAATATGGAAGTTGGTTTTGGAGGTACATGGCTTATTTTGGAAAACAGTATCTTAATTCACTTGCACCCAAGTTTTGCAAAGTAGGTATAAGTGACTATAAATCTGAAAACTAGGTAATCTTAAAGAATGCATTTGTGTGCATTGTTGTAAGGATTGCATGTTTGTGTTCAAAGCTGGAAACACTGGATAGACCTCTACAAGCTCAAATCTTTAAAAGTGCTGGTAAAAATAATATTGGAAACACCGGTCACAGTAGGTAGGAGGTTTTGCTTTATAAGGTTAAAGACCAATTGAAGACCATGAATTGGAAGCCACATCATCTTTCGAAAACACTGTAGCAAACTGAAAAGCACATTCCTATTATAAACCGTCCTGAGACGTCAGTAATGGGACAGTATATAAAAGCTTTAAGTCAATCAATCCTGATAACAGAAATAATAAAATGACTGCAGTGTATAGGACTTTGGGATTCCCTAAGCCCTAGCTTCATTATCCTCAGCATACCCTACAGCGGGAATTGGGCAGCAAGTAGATATGCCAATGTTTTACACTTAAATTTCCAGCTTTCCTTTCCACTAACCATGCTGAGTGGGGCTTCTGGAGACTGAAGTCCTCAATATCTGGACAGCTACCTTTTGTCCACCCATGGTGTGCAATCTACCTAGGCCTTGTGGATTCAGTTCACTGAAAATCTGTACTGCATATGCAGTTCTTCTTGGTCTATGCAACTGCATTCTGAAACATAGCTGTGCTTATATTTCAGAGTTGATATGTGGCAGAATAAAACTAATACAACATAACTTTCTATTCCAGCTTCCTGAATCATCTGGCCAAAAATGCAGCTAGAGATTGAACCTTAATTCCACTGTGTTGCATTTGATGAAGATGTCTGGCCAGTTCCTGGTGCCAGTTGACAAGTACTATTTTTCTGTCAGCACCTGAAGAGAATGTCTCTGAACATCTACCTCTTTGCTCAGCTGAGCAAGCAAAGAAAATCTCATCTGTTACATGGTGGGATCTCTCCCTCCACCCTCTCTCTCGAGTAGGTTCAAACTGAGAAACCGGTTAAATGTTAAATTGTAGAGGCCAAATGCTATGAAAGGACAATATCTCTCTTTCTGGAAAGGAAGCTGGAGTGAACTGTGATCACACTGTGCTGAAAAGCCATTACTTAGCACTGTATGGTAATGCTACTGTGCCTGACTTCCCTGTATTCCATTTTCAAGACAAGGAAGTATTCAAGACAAGGATGGCTCTACTGTGTTTACATTCTCACAGCACATCAACTTATTACACCTGCTTCTGGTCCGCTAGTCCTTAGGTTTTTGTGGTGGTGGTGGTTGTAGAATTCTTTGATAACAAAGTGCCTGTTTGCAAAAGGAGTCCAGAATTTAGTCTTACCCTGTCAATTTGCAATTCTGGTTTCTACCTGACCCATCCTGAATATTTGAAGCTGCCTTAGATGTGGTCTATCCAATTCAGAACTGTCTATCCTTGACTGGCAGTGGCTACCCAACATTGTCTTTCCCAGCTTTGCTCTCAGACTCCTCTTAATAGGGCTTGTCAGGAGTTAGAAATGGGACCTTTTGCATGTGCTAGACCACTGAGCTATATCCCTTTCCCAGTCATGAGTAATGCACAAGGACTGCACCACTGACTGAAAGGCACTTTGACCTGTAAGTCCCTGTGGAGAGACAAGCAGTCATCTGCTGTTCTCCAGTGTTAAATACATTCCATTTAGCTTTTTTTTTACTGTGCTTGATACCATTGGTGCTTCCCATCAAGGCCAGTTGACAGCTGCAGATGCTACAAGTACAGCTGCTCCAATGCCAACCTTAATCATGACTCTATGATTAAGAGGGCCATGTAGAGAAGAGTGGGCTGTTCCAGCAATCTATGCACTTCAATTTTTAATTAAATTTCTTTATTCATGTGACATCTCAGTCAAGCACAGCCTTTTTCATTATCCTGTGAATATTGTGCTTGAGGAACATACTTCATTAACATTGAAAACTTCAAAAGCTCTCTCCTGGTTACTGCTGTGCAGTCATGCTAGGACAGAGTTAGGGTGGGGAATGGATTTTAATGATTCACACTGTTTAATGTTGCTTGGGGAAGAAGTAAATTGTGTTATATGTTTAACCTTGCAGCTTTGAAACTGGATTCTTCATTACCTTATGTGTTCCTAGGTCATGATACTGTGTCCAAATGTACAGGAGCTGTGGATTTTCCTTCCTATATTGGTGGAACGTAATTGAGTAGATAACCACTGTTTATGTGTAATGTATAGGTTTTGGTCCTGATTCTCATGTATGTATGCCATCTCATTGCTGACTTGAACTCAAATGTGCAAACTGCCTACATTCAAAAATACCAATGTTGAATTGATGTGGAGTGATATGAAGACTTTGTCTCTGGTGGCTCCTTAACACATACAAGTCATCGTTTGATGTTGCAGTCACTGCATTTATGAACCCTTACTAGGCTGGGGCCAGACTGCAATAGAACTGGGGGCTCAAGATCATAAACCATTTACATTGTCAACTTACTGCACATGGTCTGATTGTCTAAGTGCTATGTAATTACCAATTGAGAGTGATGGTGAACTACTGTTCCTTAAAATAGCTTTTCTAAAACAGTCAGAATGTTCGTTGCAAATAGCATTACATGGAGCTATTGCAGTGCTGTGAAAGGAGTGCTAATATATCTTACTTTTTGCTAAGCCATTAAGGCATCAGAGAAATCTTTCTATCAAGAGATTGATACTATTTATACCACAAAGTGGTGCATTATTTAAAATGCCTTCCTTTGTGTTATTCTTTCATGGACTCTCCTGCTGTAGTGGGGGTTTTGGTTTTGGTTTTTTTTCTTTTCCTTTGTTTTTATTGGCAAGACTCCTTAGCTGCATGACAGGCAGAAATGTGGCAGTTGCATTTGGTGGAGGAAAAAGTATTAGTTTAATTTCTGCCTAAAAAGTAGTAGATCAAGGCACAGAAACCCTGAAAAAAGGGATCATCATAATAGAACTACATTAAATTGCTGGAGTCAATGCCTCTTGCACCTTTAAGCAGTCACCCTACTTTTTCAGTTTAAGGGCTGGTTCTGCGGAAATCTGAATATTCTGTTGCATTTGCCTGAATGTTCTGCACATTCACAAATGAAATGCATCTGAGAAGCACATATTAAGTTATTAACCAATTTTGCACCTTTTAGAATGTTTTGAGTCCATTTGCTGAAGATGATACTCTTTCAGCACAAGTGAAACATTCTAACTTAAATTCAAGGCAGTGTGTTGATGAATGTGTGCACGTGTCTGAATGTTAGTTGCAAACAGTGTTACATGGAACCATGTAGTGTTACAAGAGGGGTGTTAATAATCAGCTGGTTTTCTTTGATTTTCTACAACTTTTGTGATGATAGAACTAACTCCTTAAAGTACACATGTAGCATATTAAACATGATCTCAAAAGCCTTGAATATAGACTTGTGCTTCGATGCTGAGCCTCATGCAACCTGGAAGACCATGGGTAAGGTCCAGGGTTGTACTAGCATGAGAGCTAGTCTGACAGAACGCTCTCCCTCTCTTGCAGCACTGGAAAATGTTATCTTGGGTGTTTCCCAGCACTCTGGATGAGTTTTTGCATGCAAGGGAGAAGGAATTGCTCCCCTTCTTGGTTCCACAGTTGAAAGTGGTTTTGTCAGTAGACTGGCAACTCTGGATCTAGCCCATGAAAACAGAATGGCAAATATGACAAAATTTCTTCTTTGCGAACCTCCCACATCTAAATTTGTGATGAGTAAGGAGGACAGTGAAAACTGGCACTGTAGACTTAAGGCATGGCAGTCTTGCTGGATCGCAGTAAAGGCATTCAGTTCACATAGTGGCCAGCCAGTTGCCCATAGGAAGCCATAAAAAGGGCAGGGATGCAAAAGTCCCTTTTTGCTCATGTTCCCCAGCTACTGCTATTGATAAATATATACCAAGGATGTTTCTTCATATATTCAAGAAATAAGGTCATGAGTAATCAGTTCATTTCATTGTTCTCAATTCCAACTTCTGCTACCATATAACTCATCATTCTCTGGACTCTGTGAGTAGTTCTGGGCTCAGAAAAAGACTTTATTGCAACAGATCTTTCCATTTGAATGGCAGGGAGAAGGACTTGGATCCAACTGAAAAACCTTGAAGCACGTTACCATACATATTTCATGTAAGGCTGTTGCCCATTAATCAGCTTAATTTATTAAAATGGATAAATAACCTCAATCAGCATAAATTTGCCTTTTATTAAAACTGTTTGTTTTAGGTGGTACATGAATGTATTGTGTATAAGAAGAGGCATGTGTGAGGAAAGAAACCCATCTGCAGTTGTAACAATTTGAATATAACTTGAAACAGTTGCTCCCCAACTAATCAAGATATCTTTTTAGTGATTAAATAGGTATTGGATTGATCCAGCCAATAGAACATCGCAACTAATTATTTGCATCACTCTTCAGAAACTCTATATTGGAACATCTGTTTCTAGAGCTTTACTTTTTGACTTGACATGATCTACTTTAATCACTAACATAAACCCAGTACACACTGACTCATTGAGTCAAGCTAGAGTTGGAGCCAAGGATCCTGGCTTTTCCCCTTTAAGAGATTTGCATGCTATTGATACTAATGGTGATACGTCTGTTGATTGCCTTGAACGGTGATTGCATTTGGCTGCCTTTTCATGTTTAGCCAGTCAGAAAACATGGCTACTATAAAATTTCATGTATTTAAATATAAAGCTGCAATGTTTAATCAATGGATAGAGCAATCCTACTTCCCACAATAGAAACATCTGAAAGCAGACAAACCATCTCATCCAGAACTTTGCCAGGCATGCACTGGGAGGGAGGGAGGGAGGAGCAGCAGCGTTTTTCTTCCATCTTGTTTTAGGATTATTTATTTGAATAATTTTTATTTCAACCAGTGGGGAAGAAATTACATAAACTTCAGTTTATGGGGCATGCTTTCTTTCACATTAGCGGGCATGTTGAGCTAGAGCTTTGGTTCTTGCAGATCTGAAGCCATTCTTGATCCATTCATAACTCTTCCAGGGACTGTAAGGTTGCACCCTTAATCAGATTAATCTGTTTTAATTGATGAAAAATGTGCCCCTTATTAGTCAGCAGACTTAACCCAAAAAAATGTGCATTTGTATCAAACTTTAGATGGGATGTACCCTTTTAAGAGGTACTCCCTCTCTTCTCTCATAAGAGTGGACACTTTCATTTTAAAATAAAATTATGTTCACTTTGACATGTATGCATTATCTAAAAGCATACCTATAGGTCTAGTTTTTTAGGGAAATGCCTATAGTGAGGCAAGTTATCTGAATTCTACCAGGCCTAGGTAATTTTAAGTGGCCAATTTTGCTGCATATGAATCAGAATGGTTGTTGAAGAAAGCTATTGATTTGAGAGCTGTAGCAAATGCCTCTTGCTGCCTAGTTTATTTGATTTCTGGGATGTTTAAATGTAATTAAAAAGCCCGTCTGTTCTTTTTTAGTATATACATAAAGTACCATTGTGTTCCTAATGTCATCACCACGGTCTAGATGACAAACATAAGCTAGCACAGTATATGGCAAACATACGCTGATCCCTTCTATGCTTTGTTCCTGCACACTGATCAAGGAGGAAACATGCTGGTATGCGCCAGCAAATTGAATGAGTGTGTATGTAGGTGGGTATCAGTGGTACCAAATCATTGAGATAAAGACTGTAATAGTGTGAAATTTTGAGGCCACTAAAAAACCAAAACCAAAAGACACTTATTGATGTGATAATCTGTTTCCTCTTATTTGGGGAGCAGATAAGGTGGCTTGCCTATATAGTCCTTTAACAGTAACAGATGCTGCTGTGGTTTTGCTCTTGTTGGCAAGTTCATTTCCCTACCATGTAGCTGAATATCACGGCTCACATGAGGCAGAATTTCCTGTGTAGAGAGGAAGAGGGCATGCTTTAGTAGTGGATGCACAGTATATGATGTGGAGTTGCTGTCAAAGGACTATGTCAGTTCCATGGTAATGCATTACACTTCTCAGTATATAATGTGTGTATTTTCCCCAAAAATGTATCGATATTCCTGGTATGTGTGTGTGTGTGTGTACTTGGTTTGCAGGCAGTATCCTTTAAAATGATGGAAGATACCACCCAACTTCATACTGTAGAATGTTTGCAATTCACACATGAACCAGTTTGTTTTTCTTAGTACTCAGAACTACAGCCTACCTCTTTCAAAAGGTAAGGAAATTTGTGAACATTTATTGCTGGTCTCTGTTCTCTTGCCCCATTTACTTTAGATAAGCCCCTCAGTATAGGAAAAATGTCACACAAGTCTCTATTAAATGTAGATTTTTTGAGTTTGAGTTTAATTTCTGAATCAAACTTTGTGATAGATGAAGGAGAGATACTCGTATTTTATAACATGTCTCCATGAGTCAAGTGGGGAGGGACAGGCAGTGGTGGTCATGAGAGCTGGCATGGTTGCAGTAGTTAGGCTAGAAGAGAGGTGAGTTCAGATCCACACTTAGTCATGATGCTTAATTGGGCCCAACCAACCTCATAGGCTTCTTAAGAGGATACAATTGGGAAGAGAGTAAATATTTGTATTATCTTGAGCTCCTTGGAGGAAGGGTGGCATATAATAAATAAATAACCTATCTTGCACCCCAAAAGCAAGAAAGGGACAGAGGTTATTTTCAGTAAGTATGAAGCTAAAAGTCCACCATTCCATGACCACTGTTGAAATAGATTGGTTGAACAAGGTTGACTTGGGAAGGGAGGCATCCATTTTTGGGAGCACAAAGGCTGTAATAACATCCCTGTCAAGCGCCTGCACCTCCTGCCTCTGGTATTGGAAGGTCCACAGTGGATCCACTCGGTCTTCATAATGTTTTCAGAAACTCCTGGTGGACTGGGTGTGATCACAGAAGTCAAAGGAGAAGCCTGGAAAAAGGAAGCAATACCCTGCTTCACAGCATGCGTCATTGAAGCAAGGTTGCTGTTGATGGGTCATAGTAGCTCTGAAGTACAGATTTCCTGATCTTGGCTGAGTAATATTCTGCATTGTTAGTCTTCTAGTTTTAGCATGCTTCACTGCCCCTTGTTGAGCAACTGTAGCACTAACATGAACTTTTCATTCCTGGGCTCACATTGTGTTTGAGACATTTTCTGGGGCTTAGAAGCCTATCTCAGATAAATGTACTGAAAAATGGTAGGTGGTAAGAATTTGTTACACACAATCTTGATAATGTTTTAGCAGATCAGGCAATATAGAAACAATAATACAGGAGATAGGGATGAAAGCCTACCAGATTGTTCTTTTACTGTTTTACCTCTGTTGCAGATTTAGTTTGGTGATAGTGTGAAGAAGCCACCTGTGTGTACACAATTCCATGGCAGAAATTAGCAACTAAATGGTCCTAGATTTATTATTAAATTGATAACCAGGCAAATTATGCTGCAAGTTTTGTTCAGCTTTCTCAGCAGTACTGTGGCCAGGCAATAATAATAATACTTTTGTATAGCTGAACCAGCCCCAGATGCATATTGCTGTCAGAGGTAGCTAAGTAGGTAACTTGCTTCAACTGTGATACTCTTTTCCACAAATACATTTGTAGGTGGGCTACTGAAGTGTAGTAGTCACAACTAACAACATAGAATTTGCCTATGTTGACTTTTCCTTAAATGCTGGTTGCTTTCAATGTTGTGTACAGCCATACACAAGCGTGAATTAGACAGGGCTGTTGCTCCAGGTGGGAGTGATAGAGTAACAATTGCAAACAAGAAGCAAGTTCTCTGCAACCTTTTTCTGTTTCCGAGAGTATGACATGAACCATTTCCTTGGACATCCCTGAGCTGAGGATGTCCTCAGCTGCTGTCTTGTTTTCAGTAGGGTGTGTGTGTGTGTGTGTGTGTGTGTGTGTGTGTGTGAGAGAGAGAGAGAGAGAGAGAGAGAGAGAGAGAGAGAGAGAGAGAGAGAGAGAGAGACGAATAGCCCTGCCCAAGCAGAAGCTCCTGCACATCAGTTCCATGTATTGCTTGCAGCTTTAGCCTAAGTTTCTTCTCTGAAAGTATCTTGGAGTGGGGATTAAAATGTTTGGGGTTAAGAATCCTGGTCTTGGGATTGTGTAGGTCTTTACGTGGAAGTTAGACATCTAGATGAAGACCATGCAGAGCTGGAATTTGCCATCTGAAGGGGATGATGTGATTTTAATAGTGCACTCTTGCTGGAGCAAAGGCAAAAAGGGGCAAAGGGGGCTGCTAGATAATACCCACACGTTCTCTGCTAACTATTTTCCTGCTGACCCCACACATGGAAACTTAGTGCTTAATTTGACCTTTTGGATTAAAGCAGGCACAGGACCTCAAAAGAGAATTAACATTCCTGTAAAGCATGAAGGTCATTCTTGGTTTCAGATGTAGATTTAATGTCACTGACATTCAGTACAGAAAGATTAGAAGCAAATACAGTCTTTATAGATGTTAACAGCAGACAGTTTTCTAGGTGCTGAAAAGAAGGAAATGCCCAAGATGGAAGCATGCTCCAAAAATTATATATTGGGCATGGCTGTAGGGCTTTATTAAATCAACAGGAGAGCATGGTGAATGTGCTCATGATAATAAACCAGAAATGAAGGGTGCTCATACAAATTACGCTCTCTATTTTAGAAAGTAGAATAATTTCTTGACCTGTCTTTGCAATCAACTGGTTGTTCACCTGCTTTCTAGCAGGATATATGTTCTAAAGAGGCTTTCCTTGCAGGAAAAAGTAAAATTGGTCACACTGTGTTACAAATTGGAGTGAGGCCTTGTGAGCCAGCCACTTCCAGCAGAAGATGCTGGTGGAACTCAGAATGGCAGCAAGCTGGAGGAAAGAGCTGGTTGTGTCATGAGGCTTCTCAACAATCCGTAAGTTATTCCCCTGCCCTTGGGTTTGGTGGAGGACACTGTACTGTACTGTTGCCCATGTTAAGGTAAGATTCAGCTAACAAACCATAGGTGGGTGGGCACAGGAATCCTCCTTGTCTTCACTATAGACATTTGTTCCAGTGCAGCACAGTTCTTTTCATTGCTCTAGCCCACTAATTTGAGCCCTTCCCCTCCAGAAAAAGCATTAGAAAAAAATTGTCCTGGAAGTGGAACATGGAGAATCTATCCAAGGGAGTCTGGTGCAAGCTCAGAATACCAGGATCAGTGAACAGAGTTGTATTAATGTGAGCAAGGGGGAAAGTTTCAGCTGCTTCCTGATCAAAAGCACTCTGTCCTAGCTATGATCTTGGCAATATCGCCTCATTTCTCTGAGGGTGGGGAAATGGGATAGGGTTCTATACTTTCTGTGCATACATCTTTCAGTTTACTTCAAGCTTGCAGCTTCACCTGTTGCAATAAAGACTTTGCATGCCTGCAGCTTTAAATAGTCTGTTGCTTGCTTCTCTCCTTTTAGAGAAGGAGAGTTAGGTTACAAGAGCACAGATAAATAGTAAAATGAGTGTTGGCTGGCTGTGCAGCTTCGTTCTTCCAGTCGCCTGCTCCACAGTCAGTTCCTAAGGTCTCTTCTGAGGGTGGCAGGAAAAATGCCGCAGGTGAAAGTTCCAGGTAGGTGTAAAACCCCAACCCCAAAGGAATACTGTGGAGCCCTGGACAGGGAGGCAGCCTTCCTATATATAATGCAGGTGCTAGTAGCTAGTCTTAAGACTTCAGTTGATATAGCTGTTCTTAATTGTTTTTTCATGTAGTACAGTTACAGCAAGGTGGAAAAAATACGTTTTGCTGTGGGACTGGTGAGGCTGTTGGCATTTCTAAATGAGTAAACTTGACAGCATGATGGACATGCTCAGCCGCATATGTGAAGGGTGTTTGAGGAGACCCTGAATGCAGCTCATTAGAACACAGCCCTTCCCAGTGCTAAAAATGCACGGGTTGTAGAAACAAGAACACACAGGAGCATACCTGGACATTGGTGCTTGACAGGCATGGAGTCCATTGAAGTTTTCCATGTGCCCATGATAGCTTATTCAAATATAATTTGGAACAATGTAGTGCTTCGTTCACAACTTCGTTCAGGCATCTATGAAAGCAATGTCACAAGAGAATCCCACTTCATTCTGATCAAGTCCTGAATTCTTCAAGAAGTAACTCATGCTGTTTACACATTAATATAGCTATCATAACCTTTGATAGGGCTCAAAATTATATAATCCTAATGTTTTAAAAGTCCACACAGCAACATTCCCTGCTGTAGACAGCACAGGCATATGTTTTAGTAAAATCTATTTTTCTCTTGTCCAGTATTTCATCATTGTTACCAAGGGATCCTGCCATCTCAGTACAAAGACATATCACTTTTTAAGCAATAAAGTGAATTTGTGTGGATCATAGTCAAATAGCAGGTATCTTTTGCTCAGGTAGATTTTGCCATCTCCCACTCACAACTGGAGAGAATATTAATAGTCTAGTACTTTCCCTCTGCATGAGTGGTTGCATTTAATGCGTACAATTCTGTTAACCGTTGGTAATTTGCAAACAGATTTAAAAAGAAATGTATGGAAGATTTTACTGCAACATCCTTCAAACAAGGGAGAAAAAATGATATGACTTTTGAGGAAAAAGAGACACTAATAAACTGACAGCAGAGAACCAAACAGATGGTTTGCTGTGCTTTGGAATGGTGTAAGTGCCAAGTCTATCCAGGAATTGTAGGCAACTGTATATTGAAGTCACTAGTGTTAAATGCTCTGTGTGTGTGTGTGTGTGAGAGAGAGAGAGAGAGAGAGAATTGACACCTACGCACACACATACACACACCTACCTCTACACTCATCCTGTGTGTGATGAGGTTAGGAGGAGGCGGCTCTTAAAATGCCTATAGAAAACGGTCTGGGACTTCAGGTTCCTAGAAAAGTCACCACTGCTGGAGTTGCCAAATAGAACAAAAGGGCTGGCCTGGTTGAGCAGCTCACATCTTTCTCTAAATTTGGAAAGTAGCAATGTACTTTTTAATAATATGGTTTTAATGTAAGCATATGTGCGAAATAGTCATAATGCTCAAAAGAGGTGGGTTGATTAGTTTGTGTCTTGGCTAATCCCAAGCAGTAGTGAGATGCCATAGGGAAGGCCCTAAAGTAATGTCAGTCCAAGGTAGCATTATGCCGCTTGGCTAACTCCCATGCTCTTTGCATTCCATCTATGGAAAAAATGTGCACATTTTGGCCAAACAAGAACTCAATCAAAATTCTTCC